CCTCCTCATCAGATTTGAATTGGTGGATCACTTCTTGTTAGGTCATTCTTATTCAGTTCCAGCCCATCCTCTGTTGGGTATCACTGCATGGTTCTGCTCCAAATAACAACTCAGGCCTCCTGCTCCATGTAAGACTTCATTTCCTCCAAATTTACCACGATCAATCCCTAACTCCTCAACTGAAATCCCTAGCTCCTCAATTGAAATCCCCAGCAATTCCCCCTTTTCTTCCCCGTTCATAACATTTCCCTCCCCTTCACCTGATCCTTGTCTCCAAGGATCAAAATCTGGAAACTGGGACTTCAATACAACATAATCTTCCCAAGTTGCATTTTCTTCTCCCAAGTTCGACCATTGTATCAATAGTTGTGTAATCGCCTTGTTCTGTCTCTTCACAATCCTTTTGTTAAGCACGATGGCCGGATAAACCTCATCTACCCATCCTCACTAAGTTCAGGAGGGTTCTTAGAGGTAATTGCTCCTTCTCCCACTTTCTTCTTCAATAAACTCACGTGAAAAACTGGGTGGATTTTTTAATGTGTTGGCAGTTCCAATTGATACGCTACTGACCTAATTTTTTTCTGGATTTTGTAAGGTCCATAAAATTTCGCTGCAAGTTTCAAATTTCTTCTGACAGCTACTGAGGATTGTTTGTATGGATGCAATTTTAGGTAAACCTCCTCTCCTTCTTGAAATTCTCGATCACTACTGTGTTTATCGTATTTTGTTTCATACGATGTTGAGCATTAGCTAAGTTCTCTTTAAGTACTCTTTGTAGATGTTCCCTTTCAACCATGATCTCATGTACTGCATTAACACTAGTGTCATTCTACCAATTAATCATAGGAGGCTTGTATCCATACAAGACTTCAAAATGTGTAACTCCTAGGGCTATATGATAATTAATATTATACCACCATTCATCCAGTGGTAAACATTTTGCCCAATTACCAGGTTTAAGGAAACACATACTTCTCAAGTATTGTTCCAAACACTGGTTCAACCTTTTAGTCTGCCCATCTGTCTCTGGATAGTAGGCTGTACTGAAAAGGGTTGTAGTTCCAAGCTGCCTCATCAATTCCTTCCAGAATAAGCTTGTAAATGTTTTGTCCCTGTCTGAAATAGCTATATTGAGAGGTCCATGCAATTTATAGACTTGCTCTAAATAGGTCCTAGCTATTTCAGTCACTGTATAGGGATGAGATATGGCTAAAAATGGTCATATTTAGAATACTTATCCACTATTACCAATATGCAATTGGATTTCATTGAATGTGGTAGTCCTTCAATGAAATCCATGGTAATAACCTCCCATGCCTGATTAGGAATAGCAATAGGCTGTAACAAACCTGGAATTGCCACAGTTTCCCCTTTTGTTCTTTGGCATACTTCACACTGCTTCACATAAGACTTCACTTGGCTTTTAAACCCTTCCAATAGAAATAAAGTTTAATTCTGTGATATGTTGCTTGTACTCCATAATGTCCTCCTTGAGGAGAATCATGCAAGCACTCCAATATTTTCTTCCTTAAATTCCCATGTTCCCTAATGTAGACCTTATTCTTATACCTTATCACTCCTTTAATCAACTTCCAATCAGACTCTATATTAGAGTCAATAGTTGAACCTGTAATAAATTTATGAGCTAAGATATCTCCTGTATAACTGTCTTCAATTTCTTTAACCCACTCAGGAATCAGTATAGTGGTAGTCACTGCATACACTCTCTGTTTCTTCAACTTTTTCAACCTCATTCTCTTCCTCAAATCTTCTTGACAAAGCATCTACCACTACATTCAATCTGCCCTTCCTATACTGTATGACATAATCCAACCCCAACAATTTAGATAATCCCTTTTTCTGAATTGTATTGGTTAATTTCTGCTCCAATAAATGTTTCAAAGGTTCATGGTCTGTTTTGATTATAAAAAACCATTTTCTAGGTAGTGTCTCCATTTAGATACAACCATGAGTATGGCTATATATTCCTTCTCATAAATGGACAGTTCCATATGCCTTGGTCCCAAAGCTTTACTCAAATAAGCTAATGGCCTGCCTTCCTGTGTCAAAACAGCCCCTATTCCCTGTTGACTTGCATCAGTCTCTAAACAGAAGGTTTTACTGAAATTTAGAAGAGCCAATACAGGAGCTTCACACATAGACCGTTTCAATTTCTTAAAATTTATGCTTCAGTATTCCAATTAAAAGCTCCTTTTTTAGTAAACTGGTCAATGGTTTACTGAGTTCCCCATACCCTTTAATAAACTTCCTATAGTATCCTGTAAGTCCTAGGAAGCCTCTCAAAGACTTGAGATTCTTTGGAACTGGCCATTTTGCATTGCCTCCACCTTTGTAGAATCAGTGGAAATTCCTTCTGCTGATATTACATACCCTAAATACTCCACTATTCTGTCCAAAAAACACTTACTTCTTTTTGCATATAATTGATTGGTCCTCAAAATCTCCAAGACCATCCTCAAATGTTCTTGTGAGCTAAGAGATTAGGACTATACACCAAAATATCATCAAAAAATACTAACACAAACTTCCTCAAATATTTCATTCATTAGTGCTTGAAAAGTGGCAGGTGCATTGGTTAAACCAAAGGGCATTACCTTGAACTCATAATGCCCATGATGTGTCCTGAATGCTGTTTTAGGAATATCCTCTTCTTTAACTCTTATATGCCAATATCCTAATCTCAAATCTATTTTAGAAAAATATGGAAGCCTCAGCCAATTCGTCCAACAAATCTTCTACTACTGGAATTGGGAATTTGTTTTTAACTGTTACAACATTCAGTTGTCTATAGTCCACACACATTCTCCATGTCCCATCCTTATTCTTTACCAATAAACAAGATGAAGCAAAAGGACTCATACTGGTTTGAATAATTGAAGCAGACAACATCTCTTTAATCTGTCTTTCAATTTCTGTCTTCTGTGGATGTGTAAATCTGTAGGGTCTAAGATTTATTGGTGGAGTTCCTTCCTTGAGAATCACTGCATGATCATGACTTCTAATAGGAGGAATTTTCTTAGGTTCTTCAAAAACATCTTGATACTCCTCTATTAAGGTTTGTAATTCAACTGGAATTTTGGATTCAACTATCTCCATACTCAAAAAATATGTTTCTCCTATCACTTCTGGTTCCTTAGCAGCAATCTGTTTCATCTTAGACTCTGAAATCAATTTCATAGAAGACCCTTTTTGCTTTCCTTCCAGTTTAATCTCCTTTTCCCCCACTTTAAAAGTCATAGTCATTTCTTTAAAATCCATGAGGATTGGACTATATTGACCCATCCAATCCACTCCTAACACCATATCACTTCCCCCATATTCTGAACTCTAAAATCATACTCAAATACATTTCCTTGTATTTTCCAGCTCAACTTGTTACTCTTTGCAGTGCTGAATAGTTTATCCCCATTAGCAACTGTAATAGCTAGAGGATGCGTTTGTTCCACTTCCACTCATTTCTTTGCCGATCTAGGAGTGATGAAACTGTGTGTGCTTCCACTATCCACCAAAATATTCAATGATTTTCCTTTAATAACTCCTTGAAGTCTCAGAGTATTATGTCCCACACTGCCAGTGAGAGCATTAATAGAAATCTCCAAAGCCCTTTGTTCCTTATCATCAGCTTCTTCTTCTCTGTCTTCTTCCTCATCTTCTTCTATATTTTCTTCCTCCTCCATCATATTAAGCTGTTTAAGTTTGCATTGATGCCCAAGAGTGATTTTTTCTCCACACTTAAAACACAAATTGTGTGCTCTTCTATACTCTATCAAAGTTGGTTTATTTGGAGAATTGGTTGCTGAACTCTTCTGAATATTCGATGCCCCTACAAACTTTTGTGATTGAGGATGTGTTCCCTGATAATTATTTTTAAGCAATGACATCTTCTTTTTCCCTTCAATTTCCAGTGCCAATTCACACAACCTAGTCTTCCTGTAAGCTTCATCCAGACTCTTAGGTTCATGCATCCTCACTCTATGCTTAATTTCGTCCTACAATCCACTCAGAAACATAGATACAAAATATTCTTCCCCAAGATAAGAATTGTGTCTATAGCATGAATGGTTTAAGCTCCTCAAACTTCTCTTAATAAGTCTCCATTGTGGATTTCTGCAAAAGCTTACTAAATTCTTCAATCACATCAATATAGTTCTTGTCACAAAACCTGCTACATACATCCTCCATGAATTCCTGCCAACTTACTTGACCCTTCTGCATAATATACCCATCATACCAATTTTCAGCCTTACCTGTCAAATACATTGCTGCTATTTCTATTTTTTGTTCATCAGGAATTGCAAAAATGGTAAAATACTTTTGGCATTTTTTGACCCAACTCCTTGGGTTATCACCATCAAACATCTGTAACTCTATCTTGGGTCTTAGGGTAAATGACTGATTTGGTACACTTTTCTCATACAAATAGGGGTCTTTAGATAGTGAAGTACTTCCAGATTGATGATTATTCCCTCCTAGGTTCAGTTTCTGTTTCTGTGTCATGGGAACAAATGAATTGTAGCATTCTGGTTTAGGTCCTTCAGGATAAAAAGAATATTTTTCAAGCTCATTTATCACTGTCACTTGTGTAGGCATTTTTCCTTCAGATTTAGGTAAAGTTGTAGCAATTACCTGGTCATTCTTTTCAGGAGTATTATGTTCAGGTTCTTCACTCACCTTAGATACACAGCTCAATATCTTCTGCAAATATCCTTGAGTCTCATCCATCCTGCTCTCCAACATCTTCATTCTGTTTTCCCATTCTTCTTTTTGTTCTTCCCACCCTTTAGGAACCTTAACTTCATTCCCAGCCTCCTCATTACTGCTTGATACTGCTGTTGATTCCACCTTGTCACCCATCTATTGGATTTTCTTATGCTTACCCAGCTTGACGTTGGATCTTTACTAAGCTCTGATTACCAATTGTTATGAACCTTAATGAATTTACGAAAGAAATTGAGGATTTATAGAAAGTAGAGAATAGATTGAAGAGAAAAGAAACTTTTCATTAAAATTGCCAGAATAGATTTTCTATTACATTTTCTCCTTATATTCTTCAGTACAAAAATCTAACAAACTTATTCTGTACAGCTGGCATAACTGATTGTTTCACATGCTGCTCACATGTTGGACTCCTCCTCATCAGATTTGAATTGGTGGATCACTTCTTGTTAGACCATTCTTCTTCAGTTCCAGCCCATCCTCTGTTGGGTATCACTGCACGGTTCTGCTCCAAATAACAACTCAGGCCTCCTGCTCCAGGTAAGACTTCTTTTCCCCCAAATTTACCACGATCAATCCCTAACTCCTCAACTGAAATCCCTAGCTCCTCAATTGAAATCCCCAGCAATTCCCCCTTTTTCTTCCCGTTCATAACACAAAGCTATCTCCGACTGAACCGCAACCTGGTCCTGAATATATCATCAATTTTAAACATTCTTTGTCAATATAAAATATTTTATTTTTGCTACTTTTTCAGAATAAAAAAATATTCGGAAATTAATCCAATTGATTCATAGAATTGTTTTCAATTAATGAGGTTCAGAGATTTGAATTTCAACATTCACAATCTTTTTCCATGATATTACTTGTTTTAACGATGAAATGAAAAGTAACTAACCTCCCGTTAGCCAAATTGTGAGGGGTAGATTCATTGGATCCTTTTCGGCTTCAACAAAATAATAGAAAAGACTTCTGCCGGCATTTGGATCAACATCAATATACCCAGAAAATTGTCTGAAATTAACACTCGGCTGTCCAGGCAATGTTCCTATTTCGTTGAGGTAATAGATATTTAAAAGTTTACACGTTTTCCTTTTCAAGTAACTCAAGATATCAAGTAAACTAAATGGTCTATTAATAAATGGTCTATTAATCAATCCAAATAGATACTGCAGAGTATATTCCTTTAAATCCAATTTGTTTCATTTATAAAAGTTTTTTGAGATTTGAACTCTTGACCTTACTGATGGGATTTAGTGCCTCAATCACAAAATCAAAACTTTGGTTTTACCATATAATCAAGCTGGATCAAACATGCTATCTCATATGTTGAGTAAAGCTCAAGCTTGTGAAACTAGATTGCTCCCCTGCTCACGATAAACCACAATGTTGTATCGACAAACTCAAACCTTATGAATGTTTGAATTCTTGAATGCCAGAAATTGTCTGCCAAATAAATTCTCAGGAAAATACCAATCGAGATCCCACATGAAAACTGACCCCATGAATTCACAGAAAATTGTAGGTATACCAGCAGATCTGGCCGTTCTTTCAAGGACATCCGATAAAATCAGAACGAAACAGAGTCATCGATCAATGATACGGTATAGATCGACAACCAAAATTTGCAGAACATGAATCGAACCAAAATACAAAGATGAAAACATAATTAAAATATCATTTTTATTATTATCAGTACAATGCAATAATAATACTATAACAATGAGAAGGTAACATTCTCATGCAAACTTAGATAAACAAAAGTTATTACATACAACTTACTTGAGCAGCAGCAGAGAAGAAGAAGAAGAAAATTCACTCTGCCTTATCAGCTTTCACTTCCTTGTTTTTCTCCACCTTAGGAGCATCCTTCGCTTTTGGTTTCCCCTGCTTAGGCTTCATGAAGCAGAAACAAGAACAGCAAGGAAACTGGAACAAGAACTTCATGTCTGGTTTTCTTCCGGGTTCAAAATATGTCCTGAAAGTCGCTTTCTTTTTTCCTTTAAGTATATCGGGTGTGTGATAATGTTGTTTATATTTTACAAGATCTTGATTTTGGATTCCAATTCAATCACTTTCAATAAAGGAAAGATGGTGCCTAATAATGCCAACTTTAGGGTTAGGGAAACCACAGATGAACGAGATGATCTCTGATAAGGTTTGGGGTTTCCTCCTTGTGGGTCACCTAGGCCGTCATATGTGGGGGAAAAGGAAGGTTTGCTTTTGATTTTCCTTGCCTTGTACTATTGGCCTCCTCAGCTGGCAAGCAATATATGGGTCACATGCATTTGCAATTTGCATTATTACCATGAGAATGAAGTTGAAAAAGAAAAAAAAAAGGAAAACTTATCCATAACAATATTAACATATAAATTTTATTTGATTTTTAAGCATTCTTGTACATGAATAAACGTAGAAGATTTATGATCGAGGGTTTAAAAGAAAAAAAAGCGTAAACACAGAGGCATTGTTTTTGTTGATTTTGTTTTTGGAGAGATTGTAGCCAACTCCATGGCCATGATAAGAATTATGTTTGTCAATAATTCAATTTTCTTTATATAATTGAATCAATTTGGTATGTAACAGCTGTATGAGGATAAAGGTGGCTGCATTATGTCAATCAATTATGCAAGTTGTGTGTGGCTGCAAAGGTGAACCAACTTGATGAAATAACTGTACAACATGCAGTGGTTGCAAGGAGAATAGTCTATTACCATTTAATGCTAGCCCAAACATAGCACCAACCACTACAAGTATTGAATGTTTAAGCAATGGAAATGGTAAAGGGATAAAAAAAAAGGCACATTTCTATACCACTTGATTCCAGGAACTAGTCCTGCCAGTTTTCAACGCAAGCTATGACTTATGAACTTTATTCAGAGTCGGGGAGATGGTTTACGGTAGTCATATACCCCGATACCGCATTTTCTCCCAACACGACCTGCATCAACATACTGCGCGAGAAGAGGGCAGGGGGCATATTTACTGTCACCCAGACCAGTATGTAGAACTTTCATTATCGATAAACACACGTCCAGTCCTATGAAATCTGCAAGCTCCAAGGGACCCATTGGCTGGTTTGTCCCTAACTTCATCCCTGTATCAATATCTTCCTTGGTGGCCACCCCAGTATAAAGTGTGAAGAATGCTTCATTTATCATTGGCATGAGGATTCGATTCACGATGAAGCCAGAATAATCCTGAGAGCATATTACCGTCTTGCGAAACCTGTGAATTCTTGGTCAGGTTAAAATAGCATTTGAATACTAGTTATCATCGGATCCTAGTGAAATTTGCAACTTGGAACAGAGGCGACCATGCTAGCTAGCTAGCTAACACATGCACAAGCCAATAATGCTAGTTGAAGGAAGTTATTTATGTTTTTTTTTTCCGCATGCGTTCTTTAATCAGACAGCACCTCTCTGCCAATGCTTTCGTCGCATGAAATGTTTCATCCGAAGTGTCTGCACCTCGAATAATCTCAACCGACTTCATTACTGGAGGAGGATTCATGAAATGCATTCCAATGACCTGCAGAATAACAAGTTTGCTTCAATCTCAACAAACTTGACGTGATTTTGCATGTGATTGTCAATTGCATCAAAATAAACCCAAACATGGCTCGAAATCAAACCTGGCGCGGTCTGCTAGTTGCAGATGCTAACCGAGTAATAGAGATGGAACTTGTATTAGATGCTAAAATGGCTGAACTCTTCGCAATCTTATCAAGTTCGATAAGCAACTTTTTCTTCACGTCTTCTGATTCTACAATAGCTTCGACAATGAAATCAGCCGACCGTAGGTCTTCTATATTTGAAGTGCATTCGAGACGTTTCAAACCTTCTGCACGAGCAGCCTGTCAAATGAAACAATGTTCTATCATCAGGTTTATCAGAAAATGCATAAGAACCATCAAGGAAAGGATTAACATACAAGACGCTATAGAAACTTAAATTTGTACTATTTAGCCAAGAACCTTCAGTGCTATTGTTCATCTAAGATAATACCCTTAGTATTCGTTCATATATATTTGTGACGTCCATGTGTGTGTGCATAATGTGTAAATAAAAAAGAAAAAGGCTATGTTTCTTCAACTCTTCATATTTCTTAAAGTACTCATATATTATACCCATGTTTGACATATTACCAGACATGAGTATGCAGATATATATACCATCGAGTGACCCTACAAATACATGCAGGAACATAGAAAAACTTGAACATACATGTTTCCAACTCTCACATCCGAATTCGAATAGAAAAACAGAGTTTTCCGTGAACTTATTTTGGTTCATATGACTAGAAAAAGGAAGAACAGATTATGGAAAACCAGCAACCTTATTAGAGGTAAGTTAACATCAACACTTTCTGTTTAACACATAACATTAATGCTTTGACCCAAATGTTTCAAAATCACTTTATGCATGCAAATAACATGAATACAGCCAAGATTGCCCTGTTTCACCGCATTAAGGATGATTTTCATGGCAAAACTATGACTTTAAACAACATTTGATTGCTAAACAAAACACAAAATCAGACCAAAAATAATTTATTAGCCAACACCTTATGCAACTGTTTCATATAAACCTAATGAAACTTCAATTAATAACATTCACAGAAAGCCTATTCCTCTACGAATTTTGCACTGAAATGAATCAAAATCAGAAACTGATAACCATCTCATCAAAAAAGTTCAACCACTCAAACCTTCCATCAACTACTGAGCTACAAATTTCTCATATTTCCAACCCAAATCCCAAACACAAGCTCTAACCAATATAAATCCTTTTTACCTATTCGGGTAAGTTTTCAACCCGTTGTAACTCAAACCCAATCTAGGTTTCAATCAGATTAAAGGTTTCAATCAGATTAAGGGTTTCAATCATTTGAATTTTTGAATAACAACACATAAACATATATATAACTCGAAAACCCCATATAAGAACGGAAAAAAAACAAAGACCCAAACTTTTTTTTACCTGGGAGAGTTGTCCTTTGGAGACAAAACGTTGAAGGGAAGAAGAGATGATTTGGCAGCTCTGGAAAGAGCAGCAGGATCGGTATCAAGAAGCAAAACCCGGAGACCGTGAATGACACCGAGTTGAGCTATGCCTGAACCCAATTGTCCACCGCCCACCACCGCTAAACTCTTTGTTTCTGCCATTTTTTTCCGGCTTGCAAAATGCAAACAACTACCAAATGTCTCCTTTCGAAGACTAAAAACCAATTAGATGGAGAGTATTTCAGACGCCACTTAGTCGCGTGAGAGAACAGATCATTGGCACTCGACACTCGTACTAAAAACGAACCTGTCCTTATCTAACTTTCGCAGTTAGTTAAGACTTATTAACCTGATCATGGTGCCACTGAGCCATTTTCCCTGAAAATCAATCTACACCTATATATTTCTTCGTCACGTGGGTAAGACGCCTTGCAACGCGCGTGTAAAAAATTTAACTGTTAATTTTATAAATATTTTTAAATTAATGTCTAATATATAATTAATTTTTGTAAGGATGATATTTATGTAATAACGCTAACTTTATCTATTTATTTTTTTGATATTATTTTTAATAACAATTAATAATGTTTATTGATTTTTAAAATTAATTATATAAAAATATTAAAATAAACTTTTAATTACAATTGAGAGATCAAATGAATTATTATTCATTTTTTTAAAAATACAATAAAAATTAATAAAAATATAATATAAAGCTAAAAAATACCACCTATTTATTTAAAATATTTTTTTTTTAAATATAAAATAAATATTAAATTTTAATTTTATTAAAAATGAATAAACATTATTAACTGTTGTTAAAAATAATAATTAATGATGAACAAAACAATTTTTTTTGAAGATTAAGTATAAAAGATCAACTCTTTGATCGGATGCTTATTCGTGGTACAATTGAGTTGATATTTAGACAGCAATTAGACAATTTTAAGTTATTGACTTTGTACAATCTAATTTTCATTCAATTCTTGTAGCTTTCCACACCTACAACTGTTTAACAATCATAAATTTGATTAAAATAAACTTTTAATTACAATTGAGTGATCAAATGAATTATTATTCAAAAAAAGATCAACTCTTTGATCAGATGTTTATTCGTGGTACAATTGAATTGATATTTAGACAACAGTTAGACAATTTTAAGTTATTGATTTTGTACGATCGAATTTTCATTCGATTCCTATAGCTTTCCACACCTACGACTGTTTAACAATTATAAATTTGACTAAAATAAACTTTTAATTACAATTGAGATATCAAATGAATTATTATTCATTAATTATCATTTTTTAACAACAGTTAATAATGTTTATTCATTTTTAATAAAATTAAAATTTAATATTTATTTTATGTTTTTTAAAATTAATATTAAAAGAATATTTTAAATAAAGATGTGATATTTTTTAGCTTTACATTATATTTTTATTGAATTTTATTCATTTTTAATTATTTTTATTGCATATTTATTTATTTTTTAAAAAGTAAATAATAATTCATTTGATCTCTCAATTGTAATTAAAAGTTTATTTTAAATAATTAATTTTAAAAATTAATAAATTAATTGTGATTAAAAATAATATCACGAAAAAATAAATATATAAAGTTTTCGTTTTTACATAAATATCACCCTAACATAAATTAGTTACATATTAGGCATCACTTTAAAAATATTTATAAAATTAATACCCGAATTTTTTACACATTCAACAAGACGCACTGCAGGGGCACGCCTTATCTCACGTGGCGCCAGATCAGCCTAAAACACGGTGCAGGGGCGCGCATTTCTACAAAATATTTTAGATCAAAAATATAAACTGAACGATGCCTAACAGGAAAATATATAGGTGTAGGGTGATTTTTTTTTTGAGAAAATCGCCGTGCCACTGTCGTGCTTTCAACAGTGTATACTATTATAATTTTTGGTTATATCTAAATTTAGTAAAAAACACAAATTAACCTGATATTTCAATTTTAAGAACGTACATGAAATTGGAAATTTTGTTAAATTAATATTTATATTAACTTGATATGTAAAAGAAATTAATATTTAAATTAATATTATTTGTTAAAGGATATTTTATCATTTAAATTTATTATAATTCCTTTTTAAAAAATTATAAAACTAGTAATTTTATCATTTAATGGTTTCTTTTCTTTATAATCAGGTTATTGGTTTGGTAGTGACTGATCAA